AGTGAATATTTAGATGTGAAAAAAATATTTTAATACAAAATTTAATTTTTTTTTTTTGTGGAACCTGGGCTTCACCAGGCTAGCATAGCTGCCCTTGTTAATGGTTATTCTTGATTTCTTTCAGAAAACATTAACACTAAATTAGAATGTATTAGAAATTGCAATAAATGTTAATTTTGTTGCGGGGAAATGAAGTGAGGTGGGAAGGCTTCCATGCCTTGATCCTGGCTTGTTGCCATCCCTAAAAGTAAAGAAGGAAAATACACCACATCATTTTTATATTTATTGAGTAATAAGGAGAAAGGCAAGAAGTTGCACTTTTTTCCCTGCTCACCCACATGTCATACGTAGGTGAAAATGAGGGTGAACATGGGTAAATGGTAGAATTGAAACCAGAATTAACCCTATTTGGGTTTGGTTCCAGTTCTGGAAAATTGGAACTGGGAATTTCCGGGTCTGGTTCCAGTTCCTATAGTGTTGGAACTGAGACCCGGGATTGGAATCAAGGTCCGGGTACACAAGTAGGAACCGAACTGAATTATAATTTTTATAAGCTATTGGGGTGTATTTGTAATTTTTTGGGGTATATTTGTCATTTTAAAAAAAATTGGTGGTAATTAAATTAACCTGGGTACTTGGAGCCAGAACCAGAGCCTTGTTTCAAGTTCTAGTTTAAGGTTTCTAGGAACTAGAACCATCCGGTTCTGGTTCTGGTTCTAATTACGGTTTCGATTCCTGTTTTGATTCCTTCAAAAAATGCAAGATATTTGTAACTGCTCACCCCTAGGTGAAAAGCTTCCCATTGAAGCTTGGGACCAAAGTTTTAAATAAGTCCCACATTTATTATACATATAACATTCTATTAAATAACATTCGGATCCCATGTTTCATTTTTAGATCGATATTAAGCTTATCTACTACATTGCACTTCAGCTTTTAATATTGAGCTAACAATACAAAAATGGATTCCTTTGCTAGTTTTTATAAAATGCGGGTTTGCCTATTAGTGGATGAATAACAGAAGGAAAAAGAGATTTTAAGCCTATGATGATGGGGTTCTTCTATAATATTTTTAATCTAAGTAGATCCTTCTCCAATAAAAGAATGAGAATGAGAGGTTTAATATAAAAGAATTTTGGAATAATTAGGACTAACCTGTTAGAAGAGTATAATCTCTTAGAATGAGATAATTATTAAATTCTGTCTCGCACAACTAGCTATATCCCCTATCTTTCTTACATCGAGAGATTTATTGAAGCTATCATCATGAATTGGCTGTCATACTTTTAATGAGTCAATGACTCGAGTGCTCACAGAGAAAGCAGGTAAAAATACAATCAAAACATTTCCTAGTGCACGTAGTAGGACTAATTCACTTCTTTTAAGTCCGTTTTTGCGAGTCTATACCACTCAATTTCCAAGTCATGACTCGTTTTAAAGGATAAAATTATTGAACGTATTAAGTAGAAGCAATTACAGTATTACAGAATACATGGGTTAGTTCTAGTGTTCTACGATTTCTTAATATTAATATTTAGATGGCTTTTTCAACTTATCATGTGTTCTTTCTTCTTTCTCATCCTTCGCTGTATTCCTTGGCTCAAGAAGAAAAGAGATTCAATCCAAGGTGTCCTCGTTTTGTTTGTGGTTATCTTGGCAATATTGGCTTCCCCTTCTCCAATAGAACGCATCCAGAGTGTGGGTTGCTGGTTGTAGATAACTGCACTGAAAATGTTCAGAAGATTCGGTGGGGCAAGGATGGCCCCTGGTTCAGTGTGACAGGCATCTCTCAGGATAATATGGTTAAGCTTTATGACCGTCCTCGTGAAGAACACGTGATGTATTGTAACCGCAACATATCCTTAAAACATTTGAGTCTTCCCATCTCTCCTTTTCTATCTCCAACACTCCTATATCTACTACGATCACCCTGGTAAACATTTGCCATATTCTCCATCTCAATGCACACCTATTTATTTCCAAGTGAATAAGACTGGAAAAAGTGTTGAATATTCTGATTTGTTTACGGGTCAATTCCACCTGGAAGTGAATGTAACAAATGAGTGTTATGACTGTTTTTGGGCTGGAGGGCAATGTCAAACTGATAATAAGGGAAAGTTTATTTGTTCTGCAGCAAAAAGAACAGGTACAAAAATTACGTCCTGCTTTTTATGATTTACATGGGTTTTTGCGATATCTTATTGGAAATTTGGAATGGAATTAAGGATAAACCTAAGCTCTAGATCACCACGTTTGTTAATTTAATAGTGACTTATGTCACTTTATTTGTAGCTTCTGTTGCAGGCCAAGAAGGAGAATGTAAAAAATTGGGGCTGAGGCTAGGCTTAGGACTGGGTAATATATCCCCTTTAATCTAATTCTTATGGGTATTCTCTTCTTATTGTTTCAAAATTATGATATTCTCTGCTCTCTTCTTTAGACAAGAAACTACAAATGCTTCAGTGTCTTTGATTCTCTGTTTCGTTCCTCTGTTTTTTCTGCTAAATTCAGATTACATGTTGCACTTCCATTCTTGTGTGCTTATGTATTATTTGTGTTAGACAAAAACTGAAAATTGAGCCAAAATGTGATCTTCATTTTCTTGCCTCAACAAAATCAACATCCTCAGTAGTTGATATAGTTATTATATCAAGTCCTTTCACCAAGAACATAACTTCATCTTGTTTGAGAGTCTTTAAAAAAATAATAATAATAAAAATAAAAATAAAAATCTTAGTGGCATGGATGACCCATCTAACCATAAAAAAAAAAAATTTATACCTTTTGCTATCCTTATGTTCTGATCATTCCTTCCTTCAATTAATTGCAGCCGTATTAGCCACTGCAACTGGTATAGTTATAATTCTGGTCTTTTGCTCCTGGAGCAAATCGTCACCACATAATATCGTGGTCTTCTGCAAGAAGAAAACTGCGAATTACGAAAACATTGAGGCATTTTTAAGGAATCATGGATCCCTTTCTCCTAAAAGATATAGTTATTAAGATATTAAGAAAATGACCAATTCCTTCAGACACAAAAATGGCCAAGGAGGATATGGAGGTGTTCACAAAGGTAGGCTACTTGATGGTCGCTATGTAGCGGTGAAGAATTTAATTGATTCCAAAGGTAATGGTGAAGAATTTATCAATGAGGTTGCCATCATTAGTAAGACTTCCCATGTCGACATTGTCACTCTTTTAGGCTTCTGTTTTGAGGGTCGTACAAGAGCTCTTATCTACGAGTATATGTCCAATGGATTTCTTGAGAGGTTCATATAAGAAAAAAATCAATCCCAAACAAATCATTCACTAAAGTGGGAAACATTATACCAAACTGCAATACGCATAGCTCAAGGATTAGAATACTTGCATCGTGGTTGTAGCACACGAATTTTACACTTTGACATAAAGCCTCATAACATTCTCTTAGATGAAGATTTTTGTCTGGAGATCTCTGATTTTGGTCTTGCTAAAATTTCCCCCCAGAAAGAGTGTTATATTGATAAAAAGTGCATGAGGGACTATTGGTTATATTGCTCCAGAAGTATTTTTTAGACACTTTGGAGTACTTTCTGACAAGTTAGATTTTTATAGCTATGTAATGATGGTGTTAAAAATGACTGGAGGAAGACAAAATAACAATGTTGGAGTTGATAATAGCAGTGAAATATATTTTTCACAATGGATTTATGGGCGTCCTGAAGTAATGAAGAGCTCGGACTACAAGGCATTTCAAATGAAGAAGATAAAGAAAGTGTAAGGAAGATGATCATAGTGAGCTTGTGGTGCATACAGACTAATCCCTCAGATCGGCCCACAATGAGTAGAGTAGTGGAGATGTTGGAAGGGAGCATCAATTCCTTGCAAATTCCACCCAAGCCTTACCTATCTTCACCGGGATCAGCCCCAAGAGATTCCTCAATTAACCTACTACGTTAAGTAGTTCCTAAAATGATGTATTAATCAACATGCACATCTTCATACTAAGAACCATGACTTTAGATGTATTGGTACATTTTCAAATTTATCTGTTGATTAAAACCTCTGCTTTTTAACTCTGTTATGGTAACTACTTTATTCATAAGCACTAAATGATCAATGGCTTGCTTTGCTCCTCCGCCTACACTTCAACCCAAAACGCTAAGAAAACTACATATTAGTTCAAATATAAATCTGTTCTAGATCAGTAGATCTATCTTGTTAACAAATTCCATAATGATTGAAATTAGTAATGATTTTAGATATAAGTGTCAATCAAATATTTGCTATGAGCATGATGTAACGTAATGAAAGGTGTATATTAATTGTGTCTAGCAATTTAACAAATACTGTCAACAATCTATCATAATTTAAGGGAGTCATTACATTTCAAAATTTTATTTTTTCCTTTATATTTATTGAAACATCTAGGAAAGCAGGATAGCATATAAGAATCTAGCACATGTTCAGTATTATGCGATATCTGATTATGTATTTTTCCAAAGAAGAAAAAAACTATTAGACTTTTTCATGCTTTAGTAGCTTTTGCCTTACTTAAACCACACAAAATTTCTGCAGATTTGTGGACCATTTAATAAAAATCTTTGTCGTTATTAACAATGTGCACAACAACTTGGGTCCACTATGTTTCTTAGTAAAGAACGTTTTTTCTAATCAGCGAAACCTTTTTTTTTTCTTGCCAGCCTTTGTCTAGTCGTGTCAAATAAGTCAAAGAAGACAACTAGATGAAGTTATCATCGTCAATCAGATGTCATAGTTTTTAAAGAGTAAATGAGTCGTGTCTTCCCAGCACTATTCACTGGGAGAGAAGTTGGAAATATTGCATCAATTATTGGCAGAATAGTCGAAAGATTGCCTATTGGGCTGCTTTTAAGTCTGTTTCTGCAAGACTTTCCTACACAATTTCCAAGTCAACTGACGTGTTTCAAAGGTTAAGGAATTGAACTTCTTTGCTTATTATAGTAAGAAATAACAGAGAATGACAGAAATAACAGGTATAACAAATTACAATGAGCTACAAGGACTGGTTCCAGGTTGAATCCATGTCCTGCTCCCCAGGTTTTACACATTGGTTTTCTTCTGTATGTTACTAGTAGCTTTTTACAGATTTATATAAGCTGCATTAATTTAAATTTTACACCAAGCAAATTCAAGCCTTCGCTAGGTTGATTAATAAGATTTTTGGATTGGTAGTAACTTTTGTTGCATAAAAAATTTGATCAAATTACCATTTTAATTGTAACTTGATGCAGGGAATGGAAAATCGGGATTGAAGTAAGGCATAGGAGTTGGTAAAATTCCTCTTTAACCAAATATGTTACTGAACGTGGATATTTTCTGCTCATTAGTTTGCTTCTAGTCATAGTTTTCCAGGAATCTTTAAATAATCTTGATGAGAGAATGAATTGTCTGCAACTGTTTTGTCCGTCTTTGAAGGTTTCTTTTAGTCATTAATGACTAAACTGTTCTGTCTCACCTTAAAGGGTTTTTTTTTTTTTTTTAACTTATTTTCCCTCGAGTTTCAGAGTTTGTTTCTGAGCTACTCTGTTTTTTTCCTCTGTATCTGTCGACAAACCCATCCTTGTACTCTCTCTCTGCCTCTCTCTCCTTTTTTTTCAGCAACAAGCCGCTGAGCAGAGCTTCCCTTCCTTTTGACCGAAAGCTAGCTCAAGAGAAGAGGAAGTCCAACCACACAAATATACATCATAACAATCTACTAACTTGGCGTTGTGGGACAAATACAACTTCTAACAAATAAGACTCAGACTAGTGTTGAATATTCTGGTTTGTTTATTGGTTTTTTTCAATCTGGAAGTAAATGTAACAAATGAATGTTATAAATTTTTTTTCTGTCGGAGGAACTGATAGCATGGGAAAGTTTATTTGTTCTGTAACCGAAAGAACAGTATTCACATCTTACAGTAAAAGAACACACACAAAAAATTACGGTGAAGTACTAGGGCTGTTTCCTGGTTAAATACATGTCCGTCTTTCCATGTTTTAAATGTCACTTTTTCATCTACCTCATTAGTAGCTTTTTACAGATCTATATAAGCTGCCTTAATTTTAATTTCATTACAAACAAATTCTAGCCAACACTAGGTTGAAGAGCTTTGATTCTTATAGGAAGATTAAAGTGACATGTGTTGTATTCAAAATCTTAGCAAGAATTTGGAAATCGACGATTTGATCAAATCACTCTACTTTTATATTGTTTAGACTAATACCGTTTCATTTGTAACTTGCTGCAGGGGATGGGCAGTCAGAATTGAATAAGCTTGTCATAGGGGTTGGTAATATACCTCTTCAACCAAATATCTTATTAAATATATTTTTGGCTTATTATTCTTTTCTTCTACTCCTGGTTTACCAGGAAGCCTGAAATCATATAGAGAATCAATTTTGAGAGGCACTCACTGTATATAACTAAAATAGTGTAGAATTTATACGAGGCAGATAACAAAATTGTGCAAAAGCTTCAATTAACATATTTGAACATATTTATGCTCTTCTGGAACAAGAAAACTAAGGGTTACCAAAACATTGAGGCCTTTTTGAGGAATTTTGGATCCTTGGCTCCTAAAAGATATGGTTATTCAGCTATCAAGAAAATGACTAATTCATTTAGAGAAAGACTAGGCGAAGGAGGGTATGCAAGTGTTTACAAAGGTAAGCTACTCGATGGGCGTAATGTGGCTGTGAAGTTCTTAAAAGAAGCCAATGGTAATGGTGAAGAATTTATCAATGAGGTGGCTAGTATTATTAGGACTTCTCATGTAAACATAGTTGCACTTTTAGGATTCTGCTTTGAGGGCCATAAAAGAGCTCTAGTCTATGAGTTTATGCCTACTGGTTCTCTTGAAAAGTTCATTTATGAAAAAAATGTGGAGACGAATCAAAAGTTGGAGTGGGAAACTTTGTATAAAGTTGCAATAGGCATAGCTTGAGGATTGGAGTACTTACATCGTGGCTGTAGCACAAGAATTTTGCACTTTGACATAAAGCCCCATAATATTCTTTTGGATAAAGACTTCTGTCCAAAGATCTCTGATTTTGGTCTTGCTAAAATTTGCTTGAAGAAAGAGAGCATCATTTCAATGACGGATGCACGAGGAACTATTGGTTACATTGCTCCAGAAGTAGTTAGTAGAAACTTTGGAGAAGTTTCTCACAAGTCGGATGTTTATAGCTATGGAATGATGGTTTTAGAAATGGTTGGAGGAAGAAAGAATATCAATGTTGCAGTTGATTGTACCAGTGAAATATATTTTCCACACTGGATTTACAACTGTCTTGAAGTAGATGATGAACTTGGACTGAAAGGCATTGAAGGTGAAGAGGATGAAGAATTTGCTAGGAAGATGATAATAGTGAGCTTGTGGTATATATAGACTANAGTCTATGAGTTTATGCCTAATGGTTCTCTTGAAAAGTTCATTTATGAAAAAAATGTGGAGACGAATCAAAAGTTGGAGTGGGAAACTTTGTATAGAATTGCAATAGGCATAGCTCGAGGATTAGAGTACTTACATCGTGGCTGTAGCACAAGAATTTTGCACTTTGACATAAAGCCCCATAATATTCTTTTGGATAAAGACTTCTGTCCAAAGATCTCTGATTTTGGTCTTGCTAAAATTTGCTTGAAGAAAGAGAGTATCATTTCAATGACGGGTGCACGAGGAACTATTGGTTACATTGCTCCAGAAGTAGTTAGTAGAAACTTTGGAGAAGTTTCTCACAAGTCAGATGTTTATAGCTATGGAATGATGGTTTTAGAAATGGTTGGAGGAAGAAAGAATATTGATGTTGCAGTTAATCGTACCAGTGAAATATATTTTCCACACTGGATTTACAACTGTCTTGAAGTAGATGATGAACTTGAACTGAAAGGTATTGAAGGTGAAGAGGATGAAGAATCTGCTAGGAAGATGATAATAGTGAGCTTGTGGTGTATACAGACTAATCCTTCAGACAGGCCAACAATCAGCAGAGTAGTAGATATGTTGGAAGGGAGCATCAATTCCTTGCGGATTCCGCCAAAGCCTTTCCTATCTCCTACAAGATCACCGCCAAGAGATTCTTCAACTACACTACTAAGCTAATTAGGTCCTATAATGATGTATTAATTGTTAAGAAATCCCATAATGATATGTACTCTTCAAAGAAATTTTACAGAGACATATATGATATATATTTGGATTTAAATTAGATTTTTAGCTTGAGCAAGGTCTAAGCTATTCCAAGCTGAAGAATAATTGCTTCTATCAATTTAACAAATACTTTTAACAATCTGTCAAATTTTAAGTATTGTTTTTATTGCAGCCCATGGGAACTGCAGAATAAAATAAGCACATATTCAGTAATAAGAGTTATCTGATTTTTTACTTTTCAAAAGATAGAGTATTTTTAAGATTTTTTCAAACATTTATGACTTTGGCCTTCAGGACCACCCAACAATCTTAGCGAAAGTTTGTGGACCCTTTACTTAATTAGCTTGAGGGAATCGCATGGCCATGTTTTTAGTTTCTTTCTAGGCTTTATGTAGATGTGTCAAGTGAGTCAGAACAAGACAATTGTGGTCATCATCATAGTTTTTAAAGAGTCAATGAATCAAATCTTCCTAGTATTATTCACAGAGAAAGAAGGTGTGCAAATGTTTTGTGATTATTGGCCGAACAATCAAAAGATTACCCTTTCCATTTCTTTTAAGTCTTGTTTCTGCAAGTCTTTGAAATGACTGAACATATTGAGTAGAAGCAAGAACAGAACCACAAATAGAAGTAATACAAGGACTTGTTAACAGTAGTAATTGATGGGTCGTGCAACTTATCATGTGTTCTTTCTTCTTTCTCATATTTTACTTCTTTGCTTGGCTCAATTGGAAAAGAGGTTGAATCCTAGATGTCCAAGTTTCCATTGAGGTTTCCTGGGTGATGTCGGATTCCCCTTCTCCAATCGAACTCATCCGGAGTGTGGGTTGCTGATTGTAGATAACTGCACTAAAGGCGTTCAGAAGATTCAGTTGGGGAAGAGTGGGCCGTGGTTTAATATCAGTGCCATCTCTCAGGATAATGTGGTTAATCTTGAAGAAGGAGATGTAACAGAACAATTGAAGAATTGTAGCCCCAAATCCTCTAAAACTTTAATTATTCCCATCTCTTCTTTAATGTGTTCTACAACCTATTAGCGTTCCAATGCCCCATCGGTTACAGGCTCCCCAAAAATTTCACTTTTGGCTGCAGTAATTCCCAGCACTCCTATATCTTCTGCAGTAACCCAACAGATCATTTTCCAATCCCTCCTCCTCATTGTTCACCTGTTAACTACCGAGTGAATAAGACTCGGAAAAGTGTTGAATATTCTGATTTGTTTACGGGTTTGCTCTCTCTGAAAGTGAATGTTACGGATGACTGTTATGACTGTTTTATTGCGGGAGGGCAATGTCAAACTGATAGCAAGGGAAACTTTAAATGTTCTGTGACAGGAAGAACAAACTCTGCAATATCTCACACTAAAAGAACACACATTGCAAATTACGGTAAAGTACTACGATTTTTGATTGTTTGAAAAATTAGGTTTTCAGTTCATTTATTTATCATTAAAGAGTTACACCCTTTATATAGGGAGTAGATGATCTTTTAAATCCCCTAATTATGTCAATTGCGATTACACAAAATTATGTCTGACATAACTAGGAGATTACATAATCTCTAGAATATTCTGAGATCGTATACCTGACATAACTAAAGGATTACATAATATTTACATGATTATAAAAGATTTACACAATATTATGGATATCTTTACACTCCCCCTCAAGTTGGTGCGTAGATGTCACACATGTCCAACTCGTCTAACACTCATGAGAAAATACGTTTGGAGACAGCCTTGGTAAGAATATCGGCCAATTGATCTTCTGATCGAATCTTGGGCAATTCAATAATCTTTTCATCTAGTTTTTCTTTGATGAAAAATCTATCTACTTCAACGTGCTTCGTACGATCATGTTTAACTGGATTGTGAGCAATGTCACATGTTGCTTTATTGTCACAATATAACTGGATTGGTTGATTAGGTTGATAACCCAAATCTTGTAGTAAAAATCCTAGCCACAAAGCTTCACAAATCCCAAGTGTCATTCCCCTAAATTCTGCTTCAGCGCTTGAGCGTGCCACAACATTCTGTTTCTTGCTTCTCCATGTGACTAGATTACCTCCTACAAAAGTGAAATAACCAAAAGTAGATTGTTTGTCATCCACTGCTCCAGCCCAATCAGCATCAGTATATGCATGCATATTTTGGTAGTCCTTATTTTTAGAAAATAAGATTCCCTTTCCAAGAGCATGTTTTAAATATCTTAGGATACGCATAACTGCATTCATATGCTACTCCCATGATTATGCATGAACTGACTGACTATACTCAATGCATAAGCAAAATATGGCCTAGTGTGAGACAAGCACATCAATCTTCCCACAAGTCTCTGATATCTCCCTTTGTCAACTGGTACTTGAGTAGTCTTGATACATAATTTCAAACCTTCTTTAATTGGTGCATTTGTTGTTGACATACTGACATACCAGTTTCCTGCAAAACATCTAAGGCATACTTTCTTTGTGATAGAAAGATACCTTTGTTAGATTGAAACACTTTGATTCCAAGAAAATATTTCAAAGAACCTAGGTCTTTCATTTCAAATTCTTCTGACAAGTACTTTTGCAAAGCCTTTCTTTCTTCTGGATTATTTCCAGTAACCACCATATCATCCACATATACAATAAGTGCAGTGATATTCCTTTGCTGTTTCTTTAGGAACAATGTGTGATCTGAATTACTCTGATGGTAGCCAAAAAATTCATAGCTTTTGTAAACCTCCCAAACCATGCCCTTGGAGATTGTTTCAAACCATATAGAGATTTTTTAAACTTACATACCTTTTGGCTGTGCTTTTTTGGTGGAATACACCCTGGTGGAGGATCCATATATCTCTCTTCTGACAATTCTCCATGTAGGAAAGCATTCTTCACATCGAATTGTTGTAATGGCCAATCAAGGTTTGCAGTTAAAGATAATAAAACACGTACTGTGTTGATTTTAGCTACAGGGGTAAATGTCTCTGTATAGTCTATCCCATGGGTTTGAGTGCACCCTTTTGCTACTAGTCTAGCTTTGATCTCTCAATTGTACCATCAGCTTTATACTTCACAGTGTAAACCCATCGACATCTAATAGTCTTCTTTCTTGGTGGACGATCAACAAGTTCCCAAGTCTCATTCTTCTGTAACGATTTCATTTCCTCATTCATAGCAGCTTTCCATTTTGGATCAGATAAGGCTTCCTACACACTGTTAAAAAGAGATATAGTAGATAATTGATTTACAAATGACATATTCGATTCTGATAGACGATGGTTAGACACATAATGACTCATGGGGTATTTGACTTTACTAGATAGCTCTGGTTCATATGTTGGTTTGGGAATCCTTCTAGTACTACGTGGTGGTAACTGTTTCCTAATTGGTTCATACTCTAAATTAGGAACATTCTCAACAAATGATGGTTGTGACATACCAGGAATGAGAGACTCAGACTGAGAAGCTTTTACAGAGAGGTTTGATACCAACTCCACATTTTCATCATCCACTTCATTTTCTTGTCGAACAAATGGTTCAATTTGTGACTCATGATCTCCCACATCTTGAACATCATCTTCAACAGCATAGTCAAGAGTTGGAATTTCTTCTTGACAGTACTCCTCCTGAAGTTCAGACCCAGAAGCAAAATACCATGGTTGTTAGTATCCTACGATACCCGATACGTATCATACGATACGATTCGATACAGGTCGCCAACGATACGTATAAGAGAGTGTATCCTAAACCTTTCGATACGTTGATATGTATCCTATGATACGATACGTATCCTTAAAAATATCGATATAAATTGATAAGACTTTATTAATTTGGGCCAAAGGTCCAAAAAAAATTTCGGGTCAAAACCGGTTCACCCAACCCGATTCACTAAAATCTATCCAAATTTACCCATTTTGCATGGAGAAAGTGAAGAGGAATATTGATCCAAATCCAACCAAATTTCAACAACAAACAACACAAAATATACCCTAAACTCAAGCTCAAATTCGGCCAAACACAAATNCTTTTCTCTCTTTTTAAATTCCCAATAACCAAACAATTTTCAAATGCCCCCTCACTCATCTAAGGCCACAAATTTTCACCCTTTTGTCTGCAATAACTCCACGGACTTGTTTATCTACTACGGCCCAAGATTTAAAAAATTGCCTAGTTCTCTACCTCAATGCTCACGTATTCGCTTCCTGTTCAATAAGACACATAACAATCCTGAAATTTTCAATCTGTGGACTTATAATTTCGAACTGGTAGTGAAGGTAACTAAAGAATGTTTTGACTGTCATTTGGAGGGCGGCTGGTGTGAAACTGATAGCCAGGGGAAGTTTAAGTGTTCTGAGAAAAGAGAAAGAGAAAGAGAATGTGTTGATTGTAATATGTCCGGACCTAATGTAGAATGTTAAGGATAAATATGTTAAGTCTTTTATTATTATCTTCTATAATTATGTTAAGTCTTTTATAATTATCTTTGATAATTATGCTATTATCTTATTAGGATACAATTAGGTTTATCTTGTTATCCTTTTATAATTATGATAGAATATCTTATTAGATTTTAATTAGGCAATTAGAGTTCTTTAGGAGTCATTTGGAGTCAAGTGTAAGGCTATATAATAGCATAAATCTAGATTGTGATCATCAATGAAGAATTTTGTCAATTAATCTCTCTATCTCTTGTTCTTGGAGGTCTCTGCTCCTCATATAAACAAATCATATCCCAAACCCTATCGCTGGTGCTCTCGTTGAGAGTCCATGGCTGACCCTTCTCGCCTAATGGCTCTGGAAGAACTTGTCTCTCAACATGGGGCCAGATTGGACGCTCAAGAAGCCAAACTTGACTCCCTAGAGGGTTTTTTATGGCTATTACACCAAAACTGACTACCATTGATGCCAAGTTAGAACAAGAACGAAGACAAAAAGAGTTCATAGAGGACAGTGATACAAGTGGCGATGGCACTCCCCCGCCCGACTCGAGTTCTCATTCTTCT